AAGAAAATAAGAAATTAAATATCAGATCGTAATTAAACGTCACTTACCATGCATGAAAACAGTGCATATACATCATATATGTGTGTGACAATCAACACAAGGGAAAAAGATAGAACATCTATACTTGGAAGAAGTTACGATAAGCCAAAAATGTACAGAAATGCATGCACAGAAATCAAGGTTTTAAATGTCGGATATCAAGGAAATACCGGACGGTCAAAGTCCATATTAGATTTCAGGAAAATATCAGGTATATGTAGTAAGTATCGGAGTGCCATATCAAATGATGTGCATATATAGTATAATGTCCTAAAATACAATCTAAACGTACTTAATGAAACCTAAGCAAAAGTAATTTAAATAATATATGTTTAGAATCAATAGTCAATTGTAGAAACTTACTTAGGCATATTAGGATTTTGCTAAAGAACTTCATGATGGAAATTTTGCTAAAAACAAAGAAAATTTGTAGAGCCATATTGTTTTGCGTCAAGCTGTATAAAACGATATATCATCCAATGTATCAGCTAATATATATGCTATGTTGGGATATATCGCCCAACAATTACCAAAAAGCAATAAAGAATATTAAAGCCATATCGTTTTGCGGTAAGCCTAATAAAAGGATATATCAACCAATATATCGGGCTACATCTGGGATATTTAAACCAATGATGAGAACAGAAAGCAGGAAAATACTAATAACCGTTAAATTATATTAAGTAAAAAAAATGAATAATAAATGCCATGAGGTAAAAAGTCAAATAATTAAACAGAAGATAAAAACCCAATATCACCCAAAAGAGGCTAATGCCCTAGAATAATCTTTCTTAAGAGAATAATCTATTAAGAAGCAAATGACCCAGAATAATCTTCTTAAGAAGGCATTGAGATTTTCGTGTTAATGTTTTAGCCTTACGTTAAGGTAATTAACATAAACATCCGGAAATCAGGAGACTGAACCTTAAATTTAAAGGCAATGGTAAATGTTGGTGGTGATCACCGTGCTTTCAATAGATCGATGTGGTCAAAAACCAATTCAGCCAAACAGACAGATTATGATATTATGGTGAAGTTGTTAGAAAAAAATGATAGCATTAATTAGTGAATGAGGACCAATAAATATTTGCTGGTGCAAACAATAGTTAACATGGATAAAATGTGGTCTTTGTACCAACAACGGGCTACAAACCAGTCAAGCCAATTGTTTCCTTAAATTAGGTACATCCAAGCTATATGTTTTGCCTCGTACATTCTCAAAGAAGCAAAGGAGACTGCTCAGCAGACTAATTTTTATCTATTCTTATTTTTTACTTACCTTTTATTCATCTTCTTTAGCTATCCTCTTTTTCCTCTCTATACTTTCCCCCCCTTTTTCCACCATTTTTTTTACTAGCAGTAAAGTTTATTTGTGTCATGTTTCAGTTGCAACTCCTAGTTGTTCTAGTAAAAAATCTGGCTAGGTGGTAGGTCAATTATCAACTATGTGTTGTGCTTTGAGATTGGGGTTAACCTTTTCATTTTAGATCTATTCTGCTTGTGTGGGAAAACCAATCCCAAAATTTTCAGTAATGTTTTCTAGCTAATAACATGGATGATGAACCCATTCAACTTAAGTGAGACATGTTATATGCATTTCAGGAGGAATATAAGCTTCAGAAATATTTAAATATTGCTTGAATATAATATTAAATTATTTTAAGATCAACTGTGAAATGAAAAGACTAGCTCAAGTTTTGTTTTGTTTTTTTAAGGAATGCTCAAGAGTTTTTTGAGCTACGTAATACTGAGTGCCTTGTATAATACACCAAACACACAACCAAGAGTTTCTAATGATCAGAGGCAAATGTAAGAACGAATGGATAAATGCCACTGTTTTATCATGCACTAAAGTCATGGGGAGAAGATATGTGCTGCGCATTGTCAAAATTTGTGCAGGTTGGGGAGTGGAAATTCAAACTGGTGGATGCCCCAATAAAGTGAAGATAGGATATAACTTGGGGAGAAGAATTCTAAAAGGCACAAACAGTGACAAGTAGCATGGCTTATTATCTAATTGCTTTGCCCAATAAACTACATGAATCTCGACAAAAAAACTACATACATCTCTCCTTCCTTTGTTGTAGACATCTTGTACAATTGTATTGTCACGTGGGTAAAGCCAACATAGGGTGGCAGGTTGGAAATTTGAATACAAAATGCACGAGAGCTGCTCTAATATTAGTCACTTACCACGAGAATGAGATCAGTTTTCATATATAAGGCTTTAATAAAACCTACAACTTTTGTAGGCTTACCAATGCGGAGGGAAAAAATCATGGATAAAAGTTAACGTCCTGAGATGTATGCCTTGAGAGGGATGCTCTCTAGACTGAACTGAAAGAGAATCGGATCTAGCACTAGATGAAAACCTAACTGTTAATCAAAATGTTTCTTTCTGCCAACATTTCTTATACTCGTTTAATCGTTTTCTATAGCCAGTTGTATCTTTAAGTTGCTTTAAGTTCCCTAAAACTGAATTTTAATTCGTAGGATTTTAATACCTTCCTATGGTTTTTAGTTAGCTAGTAATCAGGTATGGTTTGCTGACTTGAGTTGTTCTTGTATGAGCTAGCAGCATATTCTGCCTTCTTCCTATTTGTCTATTTGATATGACATCTAAGGCTCAGCCTATTTGACCACCTTGGAATTGGTGTTATCTTGAGATAGGACAAAATGCTAATTCATCATTAGCCCATATTTGTTTCTTCATCATATGAACAATAGAGTTCACATGAGTAACTTTATTGTGCTATTGTTGGTAAGACTTCAATAACCCAGGCAAGGCATCAAAGCTTACACCCATCAATCCACAGACCATCTGTGTCTAACAATTCACTCTGACAGACAATAAAGTGCTAGAGCCCACATCTGAAAAGCTACATACCAATCATTCAGGATAGCGGTCGAAGTGCATGATACTTGATTGAAAAGTGGAATTTTAGGACACAGTAGAAGATTTAAGGAAGACAAAAGAACAACTAGGGTAGACAAATGGAACTCAGCCCTCAATTCAGACAATAGTAGCACTCTCGGATTAAGGAAAAACTGAAAGTGAAGTGCAAGAGCTGTCGTGTTTATAGTCTAACATAGAATTCAACTGACACTCTTTAGTTCATGGTTTCATTCACCATTTAATAAGAAAAATAAAGACAGATTACATCTTAGTCAGACTTCAATTCCTCTTAAACTTGAATTCTAGTAAAATATAATTATAGTTTAGAAATAACCAAATTAAAGTTCTAATCCTTATAAAACTTTATATAATGTATAAATCCCATCTAATTTAAAACAGACTTTTAAATAGTTACAAGGAGGTTTTCCATTCTTCCGTGTTTCTTCATTATCAATTGGATCTGCAAAACTCTCCCCCTTTTAAGGCAGACATAATGCCTGCAATATTAGACGCTAGGCTTCTCACAGGCATATGGAGCCAAGTTTATCAGGTAAAATATGAAGTCTAGTGATTGTTTGATCAAAAAACTGCAGATCGAGAAAAAGCCTATTAAAAGGAGAACTCCTGATAGCAGATAATACTGCAAGGCTATGATAAGCTTCTATACCTAGCCCATCCCCTGAGGTATACATATGTTGTGTGCAAAACTGAACATGAAGAATCTGACCAATGGTTGCAAGAAGACAGATGAATAAATAGTGAAATTGAGGGGGTCACAAAGTCAATCTCACCGGTCTCATATTTCATTGGAGCCAAACTTTCTACCAATTCAGATTGTGTAATCTCATCGATCTCTGCACGTTCTCTATTTTGATTGTTGAAGTATAAGGCTCCATGTCACCTTGCAGTATCTCTTCAAGTAGCGGATGAAACTCTGTAAATATTCAATAACTCCTTTCTTTGAACTGTTGAGGTCATCTTTGGCTTCTTTGTACCTTTTAAAGACATGCTTGGACCTCTAAACATTGTTGACCAATCAACTCTGCAAAATCTTCACAAGAAATTTTCGAAGTAAGCTCAGTGCCTATCATGGAAGAAGAAATTCATGTCAGATGGTTAGTGTATCATACCTAATTTTTCTTTTTCTTCTTTTTGTACAAAAACCAGTAGGAAGAGCAGAAGATGTGGTAATGAAGTTGAAGATGATTTAGTTTTCTATATGGACTAGAAATTTGACACGTGCAAATGCATGTGCTAGTAGAAAAAATATTTTGCATTTTTTAATATAAAAAGTAAATTTATCCTATTTATATTGAATGTGTGAATTTATAGTGGACGTAGAAAGGGTGAGGATTAGATGATTTTCTATGAGAAATTGTCTTTTTATCATTATTATTTGACCTTGGTAATTTTGTCTTCTAATTTTTCTTATATATAATAATAATAATGTTGATATATCAAGGAAACTTGACACTTTCGTTTTAGGTATATCTGACTATTCAAAAAAAAAAAAAAAATTCATCTCTTTTACTTTGTCTCTGATAAGATTTTGAGAGAAAAGTTTCTTGGGAGAGTTTTCCCTCACTTTATACTTTATTATTTATAGAGATGGATTAGTTACAAATTAGTCTTACAGGCAATGTGGAACTAAACTAATGCTAAACTAATACTCATACTCTCTTCTAACACTCCCCTTAAGCTGGAGCATATATATCATGCATGCCCAACTTGTCACAAATAAAGTCAACCCGTGTTCGACTAAGTGATTTTGTAAGAATGTCTGCCAACTAATGTACTGCCAATACATGTTTTGCTGTGATAATTTTTCCCTCGAGCTTCTTGCGGATTACATGACAGTCGACTTCAATGTGCTTGGTGCTCTTATGAAACATGAGATTCTCAGCAATGTGAATTGCTGCTTTATTGTCGCCATATAGACTTATGAGACATTTTGGAGGGAGACCAATCTCTGTAAATAGGTCTCTGATCCAAATCATCTCTAGTGTCACATTTGTCATAGCTCTGTATTCTGATTCTGCACTGGATCGAGACAATACTTTGCTTCTTACTTTTTTATGACACCAAATTTCATCCGATAAAGACAATATCTAGTAGTGAATCTTCTATCAAAAGAACATCCGACCCAATATGCATCAAAGAAGCCTGCAATTTTGGTGTGCCCTTGATCTGAGTAGAGAATTCCTCGTCCTGGAGCATTTTTCAAGTACCTCAAAATTCTCATTACTGCATTCAAGTGAGTAGTTCTTGGTGCGGAGAAGAACTGACTCACAACACTGACTGTGAATGTGATGTCAGGTCTGGTCACCGTCAGATAATTCAGTTTCCCCACCAATCTCTTATACTGCCCAACATCCTTAAGAAGCTTCCCCTGGTCTGATAGTAGTTTTGAGTTCACATCCATTGGAGAATCACTACTTCTGTATCCTAACATCCCGGCTTCTGAGAGCATGTCCAGGACATACTTCCTTTGTGATAGAAGAATACCCTTCATTGACTTTGCAATTTTAATGCCTAGGAAGTATTTTAGGGAACCAAGATCTTTAGTTTAGAAATGTAACTGTAAATACTTTTTCAGGCTGTCAATACCAGAAGCATCATCCCCTTACAATGTCATCCAAATAGATAACTAGCAGAATTTGTTTCCCATTCTGAAATCGCCAGAAGACAGAGTGATCTTTTTGTGCACGACAAAACCCAAATTTCTGAATAACAGATGCAAAACGTCCAAACCAGGCTCTCGGAGACCGCTTCAGACTATAGAGTGATTTCTTCAGCCTACACCTTCGCATTCTCCTCTTGAGCAACAAAACTTGGTGGTTGCTCTATGTAAACCTCCTCATCTAGAATACCATTAAAGAATGCATTCTTGATGTTCAACCGATGAAATGTCCAGTGGTTTGTCGCTGCTAACGAAACAAAAATCCGAACAAATATTATTTTTTACAATCGGAGAGAAAGTATCTACGTAATCCAAGCCATACACCTGTGAATAGCCTTTAGCAACTAGTCGGGCTTTCAGGCGTGCTAAAGTTTAATCGGGATTCAATTTGACAGTGTACATCCACTTGCAGCTGACGGGTCGCTTTCCTGGTGGAAGTGGGACCAAAATCCAAGTCTCATTTTGCTGCAAGGTCCTCATTTCGTCCTGCATCGTTTGGTTCTAACTTGGAATAGACAAGGCTTCTGACACATTCTTAGGAATCAAATATGAGTTGAGGGAAGCAACAATAGATCGCAAGGTAGAGGATAGGCGATCATAGGAGATAAAGTTAGAAATAGGATGTTGAGTATAAGTTCATGTCCCTTTTCGAAGTGCAATAGGAAGGTCTTCCGTAGAAGGGGGTAAATTTATACTTACTGATTCAGGTTCTTCGGGCAGAGGACGTGGTGTTGAGACCGACGTTGGCACAGAGGCAGGAGCAGAACGACGATGATAAACTTGAATTGGGTCGTTAAACTTAGCTGAGTCTTTGCCAGTAGCGCAAATAGTATTATCAGCGGATGAACCACCACTGTTAAACAATAGCTCTTGCAGGATTAAATAGTCATACTCATTTGATGATAATAGAGATGGAGAACTAGAATGACCAGATTTATCTTTAAAGAATGTTACATCAGCAGATAACACAAGACAATTGAGTGACAGACAAAAACACTTGTAACCTTTATGTTTTCTGGAGTAGCAAAAAAATGTCTTTAATAGATCGAGAGTCAAACTTTTGTTTATTTGGACTGTGATTATGAACAAAGCACAGAGAGCCAAAAATCTTTGGAGGAAGCGGAAAGAGATCATCATTGGGATATAGAACTTCGAAAGGAATTTTATCTTGCAGAATAGAAGAGGGCATTCGATTAATCAAGTAACATACTGTTAGGATAGCTTCCCCCCAAAATTTTTTGAGAAAACGACGATGGAATAGCAAGGTCCGAGCAATATCAAAGAGATGTCTATGTTTGGTTCAAAAGTCGCTGCTGTGGAATTCATTATAACTTTGTTCGATTACAACAAATTCGAATAAAGAATAATCTTTTATAAGACTTTCTACACAACAAATACCAACTAAACTCTGAAGAATCAAACACGAAATCGTCTATCAATTCTCGTGTTTCAGGGACTTTGCACATGGTGCTCGGAACCTTTGGTTCGTGACCGCCGATTCACAGATCGAAGAAAGGGGTTATGATTCTAATCGTATCGATAAAATTGAAAAAACGATATCTATCGAAGTAAGATAGTCTTCTTTCTTAAAATAAGTCAAAGCTTAATTTCAAGCGTGCAAAGAAAAGAAATCCAAATCTTGCTTCTCTGCTCTGGAATCTCTAGAACAAATGCCGATTCGTCATAGCGAAAGTGACCAGGGGGTTAATATATTGGATCAAGGGCTGTACGCAAAAACTTAACAAATCGAAGAAGTCAGTAACGCGAACAGTGTTTCTGTAAATCGCGGCGAGACAGGTTTGCTGTCTCGACCGAGCGAGACAAGTAAAATTTTGTCTGTATCCAAAGCGAACAGTAATCTGTCTCGGAAAATGCAGTTTCTCGCTGTAATTGTTCTTACCACCGTTTCAAAACTCCGTAATTTGGCAGTTATCCACGTGATTTTGCCCAAGATAGTTTCCCCCACTCTGAATCCTTGCAGTTAATGGACAGTGTAGGGCATTTGAGAATGTAGTTTGACTATTCAACACGTCTGCGGGAGACAGCAAAAGACGTCTCGGATGGCGAACAGCAAAGACTGTCTCGTGGCGAAGCAGTCATACTTGTTTGATTTTTTCAAAACAGTATGAATCCCTTTTTGTAATTTTTGTTTTAAAATTGATTCTTATCTATGGCTGGGATAGATTATTAGCATTTTTGATGCTACAGATACCCTCCAAAGTATCTAAGACTCATTCTTT